GAATGCAATGCAAGTTAAAAAAGTTGATTTTCTTTTGAATAGTATAATGGTTGTTACAAATTGTATATTTTACATATATTGATAATGATAATTATAGGTGAGATTAACTTTTTTTTCTTTCATATTCTTACTTTGTTTTGCCGGGGAAGATTTAGATTAGTAGTCAAACTCATGCATTATTTGTACCTTTTGATTGCATTTGGAGAGAAAGAGGGACCCAATGAGTAATACATCTTTTATTCAAGGGCCTCTGTTACATAGATTGACATTTAAATCAATGATTGCCTTTTGGATCTTGTTCATCCACTAGCAGATGCAAACAAAGTGAAGAAAATTATATTTACAAAAATAATAATATACAACAAGGTGAAGAAAATAACAAATTTGGGTCCCATGATTTAATTTGAAAATTTTCATTCATAATTCCATGACTTTAATTTCCTGTCTGATGAAAATTATTCTGAAAGGGCAAAACTTGTGGTCCTACATCCCTCCCACAGTTGTTGGATGATATTGGAAAAAAACGAACAAGGTGAAATTGAAAACTAGAATATTATGAGAAGACCAAATTAAATTAAGGTATGATAAATTTGTGTGGTATAATATTTTTAGTCCCTAAACATTCATTTATTATGCGGTTGATTCTGCAGACACGCTTAATTACAAAATCTAGAATATTAGACTTAAATATCCCAATGGCTGATCTGAACTGTTTTTTTCGTGGCCTTGGCTTGTAATTGGATAAAATTTCGATAAAATTATAAGGAGGTTGTGTAATTTGTTTTGACATAAAATTATAAAGTAATATTGGTGCTTTTTATTTTTTTTAATATTATTTTCCCCCTAATTTCTCAATAGGATACGGTTTTTGTTTGGGCCAGCCCAACAATCAGCATTATGAGGATCCACATTTTGTTTGAACCCAATTTCCCTTGACGCATCGGGGGAAGATGAGCACAGATTAATTAACAAGAAAAGGGTAAAACTACAACATTTACACCAGCCTAATCAACTTAAACACCAGCAGTCTGCTCAGGTTCCAAACTCAACGTTGACAACTAAACACGAGGGTTGTGCTCATTGTGGGATTTAACCCAACACCTTACAGCACGAGCTGATGACAGGCATGCACCACCTGTATTCGTGTTCCCGAAGGCACCCCTCTCAGCCTCTCTTGCATGTAGATACTCTTTGAATGATTGAAGTAAGATGTTGAAACTCCACAAAAAAAAAAAAAGTGCGAAAATATCTTTCAGGAACAAAAAAAACCATTTCATTTTCTATCTTTTTCCTTTTTCTTAATGTATATGGAAAGCTTTTTATAACAGCTGTTCATCTTGTTAAATTTGAACAGATTCAAAAAACACGCTAAAAGACCACCTGTGATAATCTGCAATGCAAGAAAAAGCAATATCGTGGGCAGAAAAATGAACTAACCTACCAAACTATTTACACTGTCTCGACCTAAAATTTTCAGAATCTAGCAGTTTCATCATCAATTTTTCCAGCCTTTTAGAACTGGAAGTTGGTTTAACTAAATTTGGATTTCCATAAACCGCACAAGGATCTCTGATCAAAAAATGATTTCCCATGCACCAGCCTCCTGGAGTGAAGCGGCCACCTGATCTTCTCAGTAGCTCCTTGTCAATCTTATCAAGAACTGGGTCATCTTTCTTAAACTTTCGAGCAAACGGAGCACCACTTTCCACCATATCACCAAAATGCTCCAACTTCAACAACAGAGGATGCTGCTTGGGAGGATTGTCCCACCGTATATAATGCAAATCATGGTTCACTGTTGTGTTCTGGTAGTCCTTGTGGTTGCAGATGACAGTGTGGAAGTAGCCCTCTGGGGATGAAAGAAAATTTGTGTAGTACATCAGCAGAGTCCGAGGAAGATTATCCCAACCCCAAACACAAAACTCCAGAAACTGTTTTGTTAGGGCTACCCATGCAGAACCTGAAGAAAACAGGAACACTTTCAACGAGAACAAGAAGCGTGTGAAGCAACTTTTATCAGGAAACTGGATTTGGGTCATGAAGAGCCGTGATATTTATGCCTTAAGAATAGTACAACTCATTATAATTTTCATATTTTACACTGATTCTGATATTTTTGTACTGTAGTGTTAGTCCCTCACCATGCAACCCCTTGTGTGGCTTGAGGTTTGTCATCGTCTTTGTTTAGCGCCTCAAGGGTTTGTTGAATAAGTCCTTTGAGCCCTTGAGGTTCAACAAACCCTTGAGGTTGGAAGTGTATCCCCATGAGTGTGGGGGTATTACCATCACTGTCTTGTTATCTTGTATTAGAATCTGGTTAATGAAGAATTTCACTTGCGTTTAATTCTTGACGGTGTAATGGCTTTAGATTGGTTTATTGCTTATTGAAGAGGGCCCAAATACGGAATACTTTTTGTCAAGATGTTGTGCGAAGTCTAATTAGACCATCAATCCCACCAACCATATTGTTGAAAAGCTACGGTTAAACAGAGTCACAGTATTAATCTTAGTAGATTATAAAGTGCTATAGATGCCAAGTCGAACAGAGCTGGATCTCCATCAAATAGCAGAAGTAAAAGTACGGGAGAAACTAAAAAGAGAAAATGGGATAAGCTAGGAGAAAGTAGGGGATAATTGAATCCATCGAAAACTTGAATCATCACCTGTGAATAACTTGAAAGAAGCTGGGACAGATCTTTTTTCTTTGGCCCAATAAACACCAGACTTCTTCGAATGATACAAGCCTGGATCTACAATGATAGGCCTAGCTCTTTGATATCTGTAATCAAGGTTACAAATACACATTTTAGTAATCATGTGAAGATTGTACGACATCAAGTTCACTAACAAACCGAGACAAGATTAAAGGATAAGTTGGATTCTCACTCTTTCCAACCCATATTACTCGTGTGCTCTATGAAGTTAAGATCCCTCGGAATGAATGAAAAGATATGCAAGAGATCTGAAGCGAGAAGTTCCACAGGAAAGTTAGCAAATCAAACAAATCACATTTATGATATCGCATATTCAAATTATTTCCAAAAGCCACATAAAAGTAATGGACGGGGAATTAACGGTTCAGATTTTGGTCCACATCCACAGGCAAAGAAAACAAACTTTCACTAAAGGAAGCCAATGAAACATACTGTGTAGTTTGGCTAAACTCAAGATCCAGTCTGCAAATAGACCCAAAATAAACATATCAGAGTATTTTTCTCCCCGGTTTACTGAAACTGTGCTTCACAAAACACTCCTCGCATGTGGCTCTCTCTGTTCTGCATGCTATAGACAGCGAAAATCCAGGATGGTGATGTCTTCCATATTTTTAAACAATCTTTGAAAAAAGAAAATGCAATATGCTAAGCAAGCTGCAAACTGTAGCTCAAACTATGATCAACAGTGAGGACTACAATTCGAGCCACATGCCCACATAACTCATGACAAAGAACTAAAGTTGAATTAAATTTTGACGTGCAAGGAATGGAGGAAAAGTACCAAAAGAAAACATTTCTTTTCTTCAATACCAAATATCATCAACCTTAGATTTCTTCTACATGATCGACAAGCGCCACCAACTAAAACAAAGAATTGTTTCATAACTATTTGAAGCATTACAATTTGAAATTCATTCTAAGCAACATATAAAGGATTCTAATAAGAATTAAAATGCATGTAGTTCAAGGCCAGAATTTATTTCAGGTTCAGCTTTAGGGCTCATTCATATCTGTATTTTTTGGCTCTGAAGACAGAAATGGTTTGGAAGATCCATACTTTCAGAGTACATAGGTTGAAAGATTCAGAATCTCATCTTAAGTTGAAAGCTTTAGATCTCATTCTTTTTTCCTGTCTCTGAAGACAGAAACGGCTTGAAAAAAATCGCAGGTTCCTTCTGTCGCAATTATGTACAAATTCCACGCTTCAAGAAAAAGGGGATTGCTTGGTATTATATGTAATTCTTTCTGACTCCAAAGACTACTAATTTCGTTAGAAAATATACAAATGTTTCTCCTAAATTAATGGATTGTTTTCACCAAAAAAAAAAAAATAATAACATCAGTAAAAGCAAGGGGTTTTCCCACATATACACCGACATCAGCACCTACGCGGGGCTACGCCGCAGGAGGCAATCGGAAACGTAGCAGAATGCCTGGATGACAATTGATGTGACTTTAGAATTGTCCGATGAAGAGACTCATTCTAAAAAGTTAGGCTAGTGAGCGAGTGTGCGTCGCAACTAAATTATATCTTTATGCTTACCTAAGTGACATGGACCAATTAGTTATGCATCACTGTTGCATTTCTAATAGCTGCAAATCGAGCAAAAGCAATCAAGTTTTGAGTCTACAAAAACTCACCATCTTGTGACATGAGAGGATAATCAGACGCGCTTAGATTAATAAACCAATCCCAATTATTTGTCCACTTCAGCAACAGGGCGATCCCGTGAAGCGTACAGGCAATCATTGTTGGACCCTTGTAAGTTACCAAGTCAGCCTTACCAACCACCATCACATTCCCAAAAGCCCTCAATACAGAGTCCGATTTCACAAACTTGGCAAGCTCAAACCTCTCAGAATCCGCAGCTTCTAGATCAAGATGCAGCAAGTAATAGTTCCTGGGGTGATACGACGCTTGAAGAACCCTCTTGAGACGCGAAGCATCTCCTTTCGTGCCTGCAATCAAATACGCAAATCGGGGCAATCGGGGAAGTCCTGAATCCGAATCTGGGTCAAAATGGGTGAAACTGGGTTGACTGTAAGAAGAAGCTGGTCTTGAAGATTTGATTCGAAGGATGAGGAGGAAGAGGATGAAGAGAGTGGAGATCGTAATGGTGGGCAGGAGCCATTTCCGATGTCGATGATAGGGGATATGGTGAATCCGTTTCATGAGTAAACAGGAAATGAGCTCGAGCTTGCAAGTTTGGTGGTTATTTCAGGTCCTGAACTGTGGTTCGACCGACGGAACGGCATGCCTTGAAGAGTTGAAGTTTTCTGTGAAATCTGAAAAATTTTATATGGCCAATTGAGTTTTCAGTTTTCTGTAAAATTTGGAAATGCGTTTTTACCTTTCTAGTGTGACGAAGCCCCTCGTTTGAAGAACAGTACAAGAACAAGCCGCAAAGGTCCGCTTATGACAAGAGTTCAGCTAATTTCTTATTCTCTTCATGTTCATTAATTGTTTTTATCCTTTGTATTTTTTTCTTTTGGCCAGCCTGTACTTATTATTTTTATTGTATTATCTCTGATTTTTAATATAAGATCTCATTTTATTTTTATTTTGTTTCTAAATATAAGACCTTAATCCATTTTATCTCTCATATTTATGTATTTTTTTCTAATATAGTCTTTCTAATAATAGTAATTTTAACTAATATATTTAATTAGTAAGAATATTTTAAGAAAAACAACACATATTTATTATAAATAATTAACTTAACTTATTTTCTTAATCTATTTAAATTAGTCAACCAGTTCTTATATTTACAACTGGAGGTAGTATTTAGTTACCTGCATAATTATAAGAAATGATTTGTATAAAAAGTCTAATATGATTAAAATTTAAAGAGAATACAATATAAAATTTAATTTGATGAGAGAGGGAAATAGAGAAATACAAAATGTGGGAAGGTATCATATATTACAGACTTTTTAGAGTTAGCTTGCGGCGACAGGAAGTTTAATTGAGGACTTTATTGAGTTGTTATGGTCATAATCATTCCTAGCTTTCAAAGGGACTATGAATGCCCTATGGGACAGATTGGCACTTACTCTTAAAAAAAAAAAATAAAACCAAATGATGTTTTTTCACAAATGAGTGAATCTATTCTTGGTCATCAAGGTGGGAGGTGAATATATAGCCAAAGCCTTTAAGTCAGAATGGCATTCAGTGTTCTAAGTTATACTTAACATTCCTATGGTGTTTAGACGAAATCAAAATTATAGTTTTAAAAGTGATTTTATAGATATATGAAGTAAATATATAGAAGAACTTATCTTGATTTCTAAAGAAGTACTTTTAAAAAGTATTTTTTTAATACCCAAATATGCCCTTAATCACATAATTTAAAATAAAACTCATTTCATATAATTATTTACGCTTTTAAAAAATTCTGAAGGCTTTTATGTGAAAAATTTAAAAAAAATGGTAGTATTATAAAATCTAAAGATCACATATTGAATGTCATAAACTAAATAAGTTATAGAACAAGCCTAGTAATTAAAACCGTATTTGTAGATAGAATAGAAATACTTGAATTGGTGTCATTCTCATTAATCTCTCTTAGGTTGATGTCCACCAAATCTTTTTCTGCATGCCAATCTCTATTTTTCTTACACATAGGAGCGTATTATTTTTTTAATCAATGGAACAAATTTACTCAAATCGACATATATGGCGAGAGGGAGCGAAGGAGTTATTCTTTCTTACTAAAAAGATGTCTTATATACTCCTCTGGTCCTTAATATAGGACCCAATTCTTGAGTTAGTTTTGGTCCTAAATATAAGACCCATTTTTCATATTTATCAATTTTCTCTAAATTACCCTTATGGATACTCCCTCAACCATATTCAAGTACAAGAGGGAGAAGGAGTATTAAGAAAGATGATTATGGTGTTTTAGGAAAAATGTGTCACTTTTCTTATAATTAACTAACTTACCTAACTTCCTTAATCTAATCAAATTAGTTAAATGGGTCTTATATTAAGGACCGGAGGAGTATTATTAAAAAGTGTTTTTTGCTTGAACATCATAAAAACAGTTTAGATTTATTATCAGGCATAAATAAAAATATTTCTATACATTAAGAAAGTTGTAAATTTACCCCTCATTCTTGGGTTTAGCTAGCGAAGGGGTTGGACTCTCTCACAACATGAAGGGGGTTCAATCCTGGAGTTAGTCGAGAACCTAAGGAAGGCATATTCGAAGCCAAGATTCATCTCATAACATATGGTGATCCCACACATGGAGCTCTTCCTGTTCTAGTTTAAGCTACGATGTTGGGTAAGGTTGGAGTCAAGGGTTAGTTTCTCTGCCTTTAGATCGTGAGTGAGCCCAACCCCCTACTCAAAATTTTCTCATAAAAAAAGGAAGTTGTAAATTTAAAAATAATCAGTGGTCAGAACTATTGGTAACTTATTGATTAAAAATAAATTTTCATTATTATTTAAGTGACTATTGAAGAATTTCCAAATTTAAGTATTATTTTTCTGTTATTTTTTTAAATAAATACAAAGAAATTAAATATTTTAATATTATTTTTTTAAAAAGTGACAAAAAATAAGGAGCGCGCACCGGCACACATATCCCTGTTTGTGTGTGAGTAATTGTGCGACGTGATTGGAGTTGGTGAGAACTTGGGAGATGGGAGTGGGGTCAGGAGCAGGGTGGGACCCACAAGCAGGCCGCGTTGGTCGTGATCTGAGCTGGGGCACATGCGCTCGATCCCGCGGAAATCGGGGAATGAATCCATTTCCCCCAAAATAATAAAACCCCATAATCTAATAGAGAAAATGACAATAAAATACCACTTAAATTCTAAAAAGACAAATAAAACACCTGAATAAACAAAATGACAAACAGGATACTGAGTACCAATCTAAAATTCATATTTTCGGCCAAAAGACCAAAATGCCCTGGTGAAATGCGGGAAGACCGACGCTGAAAGTGAGAGAAAGGAGAGAGGAAGACCGACGCTGATGAAATGCGGGAAGAAGGAAAGAAGAATGTTGGAAATGCTATTATCTTACTCCTTCGCATCATCATTCTGTAGAGATTGTTGATTTTGGTTGTAGGAAAGAGGATTTGTAGTGAGAGAGGGAGTGAACCGAAGCGGAAATCAGAAAACAATGGCAAACAATTACTTAACGTAACTGCTGTCATATGCCAGCTGGTTTTTGGTAAATCCCATTATGTGAATGGTAAATTTCACTATACATGTAATTAATTATGAATTTTACAAAATACATATTGTGATTTACAACTTTTGTAGTGAAAGTGACTACTTTGTTTATGGGTTTTGCAACCTGTTTTCAGGAGATAAACAACTTGTTTGTAAAAACTAATAAAAGTGACAACTTTTATAGTCACGTTGAATTAACTGGTTGCAAAAGCCATTTAAGAAGTGGTAATTTTCACTACAAAAGTTGTAAATATCACTCTATGTTTTGTAAAATTCAGCATGGAATTTTATTGGTTTTTAGAAACAAGTTGCCAATCCCTTGAAAAGAGGTTGCAAAACTCATTTAAGAAGTGATAATTTTCACTACAAAAGTTGTAAATATCACTCTATGTTTTGTAAAATTCAGCATGGAATTTTATTGGTTTTTAAAAACAAGTTGTCAATCCCTTGAAAAGAGGTTGCAAAACTCATTTAAGAAGTGGTAATTTTCACTACAAAAGTTATAAATATCACTCTATGTTTTGTAAAATTCAGCATGAAATTTTATTGGTTTTTAGAAACAAGTTGCCAATCCCTTGAAAACATGTTACAAAACCCATTGAAGAAGTGATCATTTTCACTACGAAAGTTGTAAATCTCACTATGTGTTTTGTCAAATTTAGTAGGAAATTTTATGAGTTTTTAGAAACAAGCTGCCCATCCCCTGAAAACAAATTACAAAACCCATTGAATAAGTGGTCATTTTTACTACGGAAGTTGTAAATCCCACTATACGTTTTGTCAAATTTAGCGTGAAATTTTATTAGTTTTTACAAACAAGTTGTTTATCTCCTGAAAATATGTTGCAAAACCTATAAACAAAGTAGTCACTTTCACTACAAAAGTTGTAAATCACAATATGTATTTTGTAAAATTCATAATTAACTACATGTATAGTGAAATTTACCATTCACGTAATGAGATTTACCAAAAACCAGTAGGCATATGACAGCAGTTACGTTACGTAATTGCTTGCCGTTGTTTTCTGATTTCTGCTTCGGTTCACTCCCTCTCTCGCTACAAATCCTCTTTCCCACAACCAAAATCAATAATCTCTACAGAATGGTGATGCAAAGGAGTAAGATAATAGCATTTCCAACATTCTTCTTTCCTTCTTCCCGCATTTCATCAGCGTCGGTCTTCCTCTCTCCTTTCTCTCACTGCGTCAGTCTTCCTCTCTCCTTTCTCTCACTTTCAGCGTTGGTCTTCCTGCATTTCATCAGGGCATTTTGGTCTTTTGGCCGAAAATATGAATTCCAGATTGGTACCCAGTGCCCTATTTGTCATTTTGCTTATTCAGGTGCCTTATTTGTCTTTTTGGAATTCAAGTGGTATTTTATTGTTATTTTCCCAATCTAATAATACAATTTTTCCCAAAAATCAATAATATTCCTCCTGTTCTTAATATAAGACCTAATTCTTGAGTTGATTTTAATCTTAAATATAAGACTCATTTCTCCTATTTATTAATTTTTTCTAAATTACCCATATAAATACTTCCTCAATCATAATAAAGTAGAAGAGGGAAAGAATGTATTAAGAAAGATGATTATGGTATTTTAAGAAAAATATATTACTTTTCTTATGATTAACTAACTTATTTAACTTCCTTAATCTAATCAAATTAGTTAAATAGATCTTATATTAAAGATTGGAGGAGTACAATATTCTTCAACCAAAATAATAATACAAAAACAAGAATTAATAACTTCAGATGAGGTAAAGTTCAAGAAATAAACTTAAAAATCAACTAATTGATTTTTTTGGGGGTAAATATTTAAAATATGGCTTTACAGAATACATGTATATGTATGAAACACATGAAAATATAACAAGTTGAACTTGAATCTTTTAAAACATTCTAAGGGCAAAGTTTTTTTTCCTTTATACATTTTATTATCTTTCGTAAAAAATAAATTTTTTTATCGAAGATATATATTTATAAGTCATCAATACAATAAGTATTCTTTTTTTAAAAAAAAAATACAGAAATGTTCCGGAGGAGCGCAGTGAACAGTACGTTATACACACACAAACAAACACTTGGTCACATGTGTGTGTGTGTGATTTTCTAAACGCTGAATCATATTGCTGCGGATAATAAAAAGGAATATTAAAAAATAATTAAAAATGACGTAAAATTATGATTTATTTTGGTGGGCCTGACAACACGTGTCAAAAAAACAAAGAAACAAAAAGGGCTTTCAATTTCAGCAAATTTCCCCATCCGCGTCCGCATGTTGTTTTCCCAACCATTTCCCTTCATTTTCTTACCACTGTTTATTAGTGTTTGGTAAGCTGTCAAACTTTGAAACTAATCTTCCATTATTCACCTCATTTTCACCCACTCATTCTCCATTTCCCTTTTGTTTTCCCCTCCTAATTTAACAAATTCCGCTGCTCTCTACATCTAATAACAACAACATAAAACTATATATTCAAAAAGTAATTCTCACATTTTTTTAGCGAACAATAATTCTATTCCATCTTTAGTAATATTATTACTTCCTTTCCATTGTGAGTCAATTTCAAATATTATCATCAATTTTAAAAATTAAAAAACCCTTTTTAATTAATCACCCCCGTACTATCTATGCATTCCCTTCCATTTTCCGGCTAACTTAACCAATAAAATTGCATCATTAAATTCGTATTTTGTTAATTAATGACTTGCGTATTTCCATCTAAGTTCAGAACTAACAAGAAAAATGAACCTATTATATTTGGGGGGAAAATGAACCTAGTGCCAATTCTTAAGACGATTGGTGATTGAGGAATTTTAATACTATTTCCGATCCTTAATATAACAGCTAGTTGACTGATTTAAGTAAATTATGAAAGTTAATTAAATTAGTTATTTATAATAAATATGTGTTATCTTTTCTAAATTACCATTGTTAATCATGTCTATTAACTAGAACTACTATTTGATGAAACATTTAATATATGTAACTACTACATTGACTATTTTAAAAGGAAAAAATAAATATGAGAGAATGGATTAAAATATTATATTTAAGATGAATACTAAACTAGTTTTTAAATTAAGAATCGGATGAGATATTAGTTTAAAGAGAGTATTATAAATAGCCCAATGTTAATTAAAATTTAAGAGCACTAATTTACAATTTCTATTTCATTTTTTATACAAAGCGGATAGCACAACCAATAGTTAAACTTATGAACACGATATATTTAAATTTCTACCCAACTTACAAGTAACTATCTAAAAATGTGAAAATCAGCTTCCAATAATTAATCACATTCTACAATCTTGTTTATTAAAAAGAGTGAGACTTATATGGTATAACACTACGTACAAATTAACTAGCAATTTTGAGTTTTAAAAGTTTTGGAGAGCTTAATATGTATGGATAACACAGAAATATCAATTTCTAACTTTCCATGGCTTGATATTGAACTCCAATTTTCAGGAAAATCCCTTCACTTTCTCTCGGACTGGGAAATTAAACCACTCAAACCCCAAAATCTTAAGAACAACAATTAACGGCTGATAAATCGGAAGGCTAAGAATTTCCCCGGCAGACTTGATGATTCAGTTTGAACTCCAAACTGAGTTTAACTTTTCTGGGAAAATCCTTCGATTTCCGGCTAGTTAACAGATACACATCTGGTGTAACAATTGAAGCGCTCAAGCTCAGTCAAAATTCTCGTGATAACCATTCCCAAATCCTAACTCTCCTTGGTTTGAAGTTTGAACTTCAATTTTCTTAGGAAAATTTAACTTCCTCACTAGCCAGTATAAAGATTCGAAGCTCAAACCCCACAATTTTGACGAGAAAAATTTAAAAGAAGTGATGAACAATCTGAAGATTTGGTTGAATTGGAGAGGAAGGTAGACGAAGAAATGACTCAAACCAAAGAAGAGGCATCAGGCAGACCTTGTTGTAGATCGCCGTTATTTCTCGGCGGAGCCGCCGTGTTTGGCCGCTTAACGGTGACGGTGGCACGGCAAATCGGGCAATTGGAGTGGTTACTGAGCCACATGTCGATGCAAGAAGCGTGGAACGAATGCTTACACACACTGAGCTGCCGGACCTCCTCGCCTTCGACGAACACCGACAGGCAAACGGGGCACTCGCTGCCGATCTCCTTCACATGGGCGTCCTTCTGGTACTTGACGTCGGAGACCACCGCAGCAGCATCTCCTGCATCATGTGAAACAGGTTCAGAGACTACGGAGGGTGGTCCTCCAGAAGTTTCGTCCGGATGCCGGCGATGGCGAGATGGACACTTGACGGCGAAGATGAAGGTGTAGATTAAGGCGGGGATGGTGACGACGGCGATAAGGGCGAGAAGGAATTCAAGAGGGGACAAATCGACAGAGCTGGAGGAGTCCGGGAAGGGTGGCTGCGGCGGAGGAGGAGGCAGCGCGTTGATGACGGTGATTTGGCTGAAGGCGCGTGGCGGAGGAGGGAAGGGAAAGAATGATGATGGCGGTGGTGGTTGTGTGGTGGGAGAGGAGGAGGGGGTGTGATGAGAGGGGGTGGTGCGTTTTCCATGATGGCCAACACTGCTTATCTCACATGTGCCTTTTTTTGTATGCCTTTCATTTTCACGCCTTTATTTTTCTTTTATTTGGTTTGGAGTGCTTTATTTTATTTATTTTTATTTTTGTTTTACACTTAAAAAATCATAATTTTTCGGTTGAAAAGTTAAAGGACTACCAAGGGGTTGGGATGGAGGCCTCTTGAGAATTCTTTAAAGCAATAATTGAGTGGGGATTCTGGAATTCCAGAGTTTTACAGCATAGAATATAGATATAGATATTCACTTTTTTTTTTTTTACCACATATAGATATTCACATTTACACATACACACATATGTTTGATATAAATATATAGTAACAAATTAGTGAATCACTCCTCAGGGTGTGTTGGGTAGTTTTTTCAAGTATAAAATATATTTCTTTAATTCTTAATATAGGACCTAATTGTTGAGTTAATTTTGATCTTAACTATAAAACATATTTCTTATATTTATCAATTTTTTCTAAATTACTTCTATGGATTTGCCTCAACCATAATCAAGTAAAAAAGAAAGAGATAATATTAAAAAAGATGATTATGGTGTTTTAGGAAAAATATGTCACTTTTTTTATAATTAACTAACTTACCTAACTTCCTTAATCTAATCAAATCAGTTAAATAGATCTTATATTAATGATCGGAGGAGTAACATCTTAATTTACTTTATTTTTTCTGGTTTTTTTTTTCTAGTTCAAACTATCTCTTTTGGTCACATACACCACATCTGCAAGTTAGTTTCTAATAATAAATGACTAAAAATACATGTATTTTGGAATAATTAATCTACATTTATATCAATAATTAACTTAATTAATTAATACTACCTCCGATCCTAATTATAAGACCCAGTTGACTTATTTGAGGAGATTAAGGAAGTATGTTAAGTTAGTTATTTGTAATAAATAAGTGTTGTCATTCCTAAAATATCCTTGCTAATTAAGTATATTGGCTAGAACTATCGTTATTAGAAGAACTATCTTGGAAAAAAATGTATAAATATGAGAGAGAAAATGGATTTGAGTCTTATAGTTAGAACCAAACAAAAAGTCAAACGACATCTTATATTAAGGACAGGAGGTAGCACTATGTCTATACAAGACTTGAATGTCTAAGCATATGACCCACATTTAGTTTCTAAAATGATCATCAATATACTTCCCCCCAGGAAAATATGTTCCCCCATTTTTATTATAAGGATATATATATATATTTTCTCACTGAAGTACATTATTATAATTTGCAAAAGCTTAGGATAAATAAAAGAGATGAGAGAACATTCAAAGGAATCAATACACGGTCATACTTTCTTACGTCATTTTTCAAATACACAAATATATAAATATAAATGATTGAATTCATATGAAAATAAAAAGGGGCAAAGTCTCAACAAGACAAAAATTCACATGTCATTTGATTTTTTTTTTCCCCTGTCGTATCCTTCTACTTCTCTTATAATATCATAACAAGTGGTAAGTGTGGTGCAATAATGTACAAAACATTATTGCATGTGTAAACAATTCACATATATAGTTGAAATTGACTTCATTAAATTTTGGTTTCAAAACTACCACATAGTATTCAACTTTGTCTGCATATTTGCACATATGTGATTGTCATGTCAATTTATCTCTAAACTATCATTTTAGTTTCAATGAATCTGTAATAAATAAAGGCATGCGATGATCTGGGAAGTCCACTAACACCACTAGTTAAAAAAAGGCGGTCAATAATTAAAAAAGAAATCGGGCACCATTAATTTCTCATAAATAAATAGAGTAGTGGAAGATATATAATTACTTATCTCTATATATAGTAGATGATCTAACGTAACGTGTCACTTAAATCACAGTTTAGAATTATAAACACGTGATTTTTTAATTTCCTCAAAAAACCCGTGTGTATATTGAACTCAGATCCGATGTTTCGGTACATATTTTTATTAAAAGAATTAATTGTACTGCCTCCGGTCTTTAATCTAAAAAACAATTAAAAAATTAGATTTGATTCTAAATATAAAATCTCAATACAAAATTTATTTGAAAATATTCCTACTGATGGTACATGTTAAGGAGTTATTAATAAGAGGTAATTCCTGTATACATGATTAAAAAAAAGGTAATTTAACACATTTGTAATAAATAACTAATTTAATTAATTTTTTAATATTATAAAATTAGTTATTTAAATCTTATATCACATTAAGCACTAAAAGCAGTATTTAATAAAAGGTATACTTAAAAAGACTGAAATGTTTTGGGTCCGTATGAAGGAAATGGAAGGAAGGGGAAGAGAAAATTCTAATGAGCTCAATTTAGAAAATTAAAAAAGTGGGGTGAAAAGCCTTTAATTAATTTTTATTGCTCTTTTATCTCACATTTTTTTAATTAAAATCTTAAGATCCCACTTCTTCAATTTTCGAAATCAAGCTCATTAAAATTTTTTCTTCTTGTAATATTTCCTTCATACCAAACAAGCCCTTAAGGACATTAGCTAATTGGATGGGCATGTGTAGGGAGTTAAGAATAGTTTATAATAGTATAACTAAAGGAGTATTTCGTTATCTTATCCTAAATATAAAAGCTAAATAAGGTATTTATTTTGGTTAAGTACAAGACTTTATTTTTGTCTCCTAAATTTATAATTTTATACTCTAAAGTATTTTTATCAATTGCAAACATATCAAGGAAATTTTCATCAAGAGGAGTTATGCTGCACATACTTTAAAGAGGTCATTTATGAAAAACCAAAATATATTTGTTACAAATGATTAATTTAATTAATTTCTTTAAAGTCTATAAATTAATTATCTAGCATTTTAGCTCTCATATAAGAAGTGGAGTTAGTAATTAATAAGCAAGCATGCTTCCGAACTAATATATGTGTGTATTTTTCACGGATCAAAGTGATTGTTTCTAAACTAATTTGATGTAGGAAAAACTAGGACGAATAAGAGATATAGAAAAATAACCAGCATGTTGTAGGTCGTGGGAGTAAAATGGAATGGGGTGGAAAGAGGTGAAAAGGTATACATTTACTTGTAGAATACGTATCATTCTCCATAATTTCTACGGTGGGGATATGTAGAGATTTTCTTTCAATAAATTGATTAATTTGAGTAGATTAAGAAAGTTAGTTAAGTTAGTTATTCGTAATTCTTAAAATATTCTTACCAATCAGATGTATTAACCAAAATTACTATCTGATAAAACTTTTAACATATGCAACTACTAAAAATCAAATTAACTTTTATATTAAAAGTTGGAAGTAGTATATAATGTTAGTTGACTTTGTTTAAATAACTCCACATTTATGGTGGGTTTATACTATTTGAAAAAGTAAATATACTTAGCTTGAAGAATCACACTTTAACTTTACAACCGATGAATAATATAACTCCTCATTAATATCATGCTTTATATAAACTCTAAAAAAGTAATAATTGGATCATATATACATGAATCTCAGCAATTAATTAAGCAATTATATTAAGACGGAATTAATGCTTTGGATTTCACATTGTGCATATACTAACTCCGGTCCTAATTATAAGAGCCAATTGACTAATTTGAGGAGATTAAAGAAGTAAGTTGAATTAGTTATTTGTCATTAATAAGTATTGTCTTTCCTAAAATATCCTTACTAATCAAGTGTATTGATTAGAACTCTTATTAATAGAGCGCTATTTTGGAAAAGACAAAATAGATTTGGACCTTATATTTAGGATTAAAATAAAAGTTAAACAGGATTTTATATTAAAGATCAGAGGTAATACATGCATATGCATATATATATATATATATATATATATATTTATATGTGTGTATGGGGACCCAGTAGTCTACCGTCACCAAGCAGGGTAGCTTACAAAATGACCCGCGCCACCATGAGACGAGGCTTCTGTGGCATTCTGTTCATCAGTTTACTTTTGATTTCAGGTACAAATTTCCTCCATACACACGCACTTATGACATATCTAACGACTTATTATCAATTCAATTGTGATTAAATTAGTTAGGATCAACAGTAATTAAACGTTAAGACGTTGACATATATAGTATGAAAAACAAAAAATTTCTTAGGATGAGTTTTCAGTCAAACTAGCTAATTCAATAGGATGTTCTCGTTCCTTCTTATTTTTAATATGAAATAGCTACTTATTTAATTTGAGCAGATTCAAAAAAAATAAAATAAAATAGATAATTATAATAAACGTGGTCTTTTCTCCCCAAAATACCCTGATGTAATATTAGAGTATATATTTCGATAAATTAATTTGATAAAAAATAACAAACATGAGGCACAAGGCTGATTGAAATTTTATATTTAGAACTAAAATTAACTCCCTAACTAGCTCTTATATTAAAATTAGAAAAGTAACATTGATGATCATATGCATAATAAAAGATGAGATAATTAACTTGTAAATAGTGAAAGTAAATACCCTGATGATCATATGCAAGAGTTAAATAAAAAAATAAATTTAAGAAAAAATAATAAATACAAGGCAAAAAGCTGACTGAAATATTATATTTAGAACTAAAACCAACTCCTAACTAACTCTTATATTAAGATCCAGATAGAGTAACACTGATGATAATAGTAAAAGATGAAATGATTAATTTGTAATTACAGGGGGAGTGGAAGGGCGTAGCAGCAAAGTGAAGAAGAGGCAACCGGACATAGAGTGCCAAGGTCCGTGTAGGGACGATTGCAGTGAGCAATGCAAGAATATGGGCTTTACCAACGGCGGCTGTTGTTTGGGCTTTGACAACTCTGGCCCATCCGATTATTGGTGCTGTTGCAAGAAAAATCCTCCCCAGCCTCACCCCCTGACTTATCTTTAATTATTATTATTATTATTATTATTATTATTATTATTATTATTATTATTATTATTCACTAATTTTAATTAAACAATGCATCTTCTATTGTACTCCTTTCCCTCCAATCAGGGTTGAATAACTTTTATTATTATTACTACTCCTCCGGTTCTAAATATAAAACCATTATACTAGTATGAGAATCTTATATTTAGGACTAGAGGAGTATAATACTTCTTTTCCTTCATTTAATCCTTTATAAAATCACCTTATTATTTTAGTTAATTTACTAATTGTATTATTATTAATCTAATGTATATAACATTTAAAATAGCACACAATTTTCTGTTTTAAGTTATTTAAATGCAAAAGGAAACGTTTAAAATTATTAAAAAAAGAGATATAAATTGATGTACAAGTATTCAGAACTTCCTTAGGAATTTGAATTATAATAGTCGTGTATATTCCAAACATAATTGAGGGGGATTTACGCTTTAGTTCTTAATGCGGGGCATAAATATTTTAAACTAAACTGTGATACCCAACTTTGTATGGAATCCAATATGTGTAACATTTTTTATGATGGCTTTCGGAAAGCACCTTTTTCCCATAAATTTAATACTCTATATATATGTCTGGCTAACTTCATTTTATTATATTATTTTATCAATTTGTTCCTCTAGCTAGTTTGAAGACTTTAAAGAATGAAAAATCACACACCCCATATGTTAAAAAGGTGGCTTAAACTTGTGCCAATAAATATTAGAAAAATTAAGATAATTTTTTTATAAATAGTAATGTTAATGTTTGTTGCTATAAACTCACACCCCAATTATACTTTTTATAAAGAGTTTCAACCTGATATTTAAAAAATTACTAAGAGAAGTGTTTGGCATGATCCATCGACAAAATTCTAACTAATTAAATAAACACTGTAATTAAGCTATGATGAAATGTATTATTCTAGATAATAATCGAGTTTTTTAAAAAAAAATGATATATATATATATATATATAAGATGATAGCATATTAACTTTGGGAGAATTACAATAAGGTCTTAAAAAAAAATTAAAAACAAGTCTTAAAAGTTGTTATTTTTTATTCTAAAATTTGTTATTACAAACTATTTAGATTGTTATTAAAATTTTATAATAATTATTTTTTTTTATCACCTCATTATAATTCTCTTTATAACTTTTTGAATGAGAAAAGAAGAGGAATACGTTATCCAAGGAATCCAAAGAATGAGAAGTGACATGGCGTCATAATTTTGTTGGGATATTGAGATGAAGTACAAAGTCCAGCACGGATGGCCCACGTGGGAGCCCATGGCTAAGTAGTACCCACCAGGGTCACCGTGCAGAGCATCGTACGGAAGACAAAACCCAATCGCGTCACAACCACTGTCCACGTGGCGGAAGAGGACGTGTCTGTGAGATTCGTCATGTGACAGCGCTCTTCTTGAGGCTACGACGAAAATGAACGGTTATTGGATTTCGTCAGTCATGCATGCACACGTAGCCGCAATCGGTGAACCCCGCCGCTTCATCCCCACATTTATTCTGAATAAATATATCCAATTGTTTTCAAACTTCGTATTAGTTTTACATCTATAATAATTCCTTCAAATTTTTTGCCAGCCTTGACAAATTATTACTTTAATAAAATTAATATTAATAAATATTATCGATATGTTAATGTGTACAGACATAACAAGTCATATGTAAAACAAGCAGCAAACTTTTCAGTTAATTTGATAACATGTGTAATTTATGAAGAAATTATTACACTTGAAAAATGTCGAATGAGTATCCAACGTTTTTCTTTTGGCTAATATATGACTGTGTGGGTGTGTAGAGAGAGAGAGGGAGGGGGAGAGAGAGTAGTTTAATTTGGAGACAACTAAGGGATATTTGTAATTTAGTGAGATATTTATATTATAAGGAGAGTGTAAAAACTTGAAATAGCAAACACGGCAGAGCTGTCATGTACTCTCTCAATCCTTTTAACTAAATTATACAATTTAAGAAAACAGTTAAAATTAGTTTAAAGCAAAACAAATTTTTTTTTCAAAATACACCCCTTTATATAAATGGGTAAATACGAGAGGGTAATAGTGAAATAAATAAAAAAAAGAATGTATTAAATATATTAAATTAGAAATAAAATAAGTAATAATATATTAAATACTCAGACAAATTCAAAAAAAATTTTATAAAAAGAGACAGACTCATTCAAAAAATTAGATCTTATAATAAGGGACAGAGAAGTATATAGCTTTAGATTGTTCATCCTATTCAATTCCCTCTTTATTTCCTTTGTTTATCTAATATTTTTCAGCCTATGTTTATCTGCTCCGCTTTATAATATATTATTCGTTATCAACTTCTTACCATTTATGTTATTTTATTTAAAAAGTATACTATCATATGGTTTTCCTTTGCTTATTTATTTCTTAAAGGGCGCCTTAATTTTTTAACCAAACTTAAAGGGTGCATTAAGCAAATGCATGTTAATAACCAAAAAAAAAAAAAGTTATCTTCCATTGGACTCGATAATGCTCGAATGCAACTCGTCCAATAACTGAGTTTTAAATTTGGATTTAAATATATTTATGACTTTATATATATATATATAATGATTTTAGGGAAAAATATTACTCTTAGAAATATAAAAAAATATACGGTGAAATTCGCATATACTCAACACATTTGGAACATCTGGCTAGCATATATATCACAATTTCATTCATATATGTGTGTGTATTAAGTACTATCTCATAATTTTAGTAAAATATGAGAGAGTTCAAGTATGATTGGATCAAATTCAAAGGTATGCTATTGAAATTAAAGTTCGTCAAAATGAAGCACAATAATTTATTTGATTTGAAATAAAAATATAGGAATCGAGAAGAGTATTGATAAGTGAGAGGTTCTTGCTTTGTGGTAAAGTCTGAGGCACCGTTTGGTAGTTCCATTCAGATGATAACGTATGGTTCTTGGCACTGCCTCCCAAGTCACATTCTGAAACTCGCCGCACCAGCCAAGCCATCAGGTTTTCTTCTTCTTTATATATATATATATATATATATTATATTCCCCCCATCGATTCCAAATATATATATTTTCATTCAATTTTTTCAATCATCCACAAAAAATACTTATATATGCAAATTAAGAGTTCAAATTTGAGGCAAAAATACTTGGAGACTTTTGTGGGAGTCATCGGAAAATTTGAGATAAGAATAATACTTACCTCCTGTCCTTAATATAAGATCCTGTTTGATTTTTATTTTGGTCTTAAATATAAGACCCCAATCCACTTTGTCTTTCATATTTATATATATTTTTTCCAAAGTAGTCATTCTAACAATTATAGTTTTAGTCAATACACTTATTAGTAAAGATATTTTAGGAAAGATAACACTTATTTAGGATAAATAACTAACTCAACTTACTTCCTTAATATCCTTAAATTAGCCAACTGGTGCTTATAATTAGGACCGGAGGTAGTATGATTTTTTTTTCCTTGCGGACAGATATTTTCCTATTAAAAATAATTCTGTTCAAAACATTACCGAGTACTATATGTTATTGTGAGGAGAATAACTCTTCTGCTAAACTCTGTTGTTAGAATAATATGATTTTCGAGCACAGAAGATCTGAATTGTTCACGTAGAAACTCCAAAGTCATTTAAACCTTATGTGGAAAAAAGCCAAAATTAATAAGTGAATTCCACTTTAACACTCTTCTCCATTTACCAATAGGACTTCGCCATTCAAATTATACAGAAACGGCCTCCTTTTTCTCTCCATCTTTTAGGCCAGCAAAGAAGACAAACACACACGTTAGAAATTGGGGGAAAATAAAATTACAATTAATGATATTGAAACAAACCAGAACAAACCAGAACACACACATAGGATCGTCAAAAAACACACACACACACACGGGTGTGGTAGACTGGTATATTTAAGTTTCAGGCCATGCTCTATCCATGTGAGTCTCTCCACAAAAAAAAAGTTCTCTTCTTCTTCTTCTCTTTTATATCAAGTCTTCGATTGATTGGCTTCAATTTCCTGGGTTGGGAAAGAATCTCCACCTTTCTTCATCTTCTTTGCCACGAACGAAATTTCACTTTGCTGATCGATCTCCTTCTCCTGAACCATTAACTACTGCGCAGATTTGTTTAAGTGATGACCATCTATCTGCAATAAAATACTGAGAAAGAATCTTACTAAGATTTGAGAGGACAGAGAGAGAAGTCACTTTCTTAGTTCGAAGGTAAGAGACTATGAAGATTTATATTATATTCTTTTTTTTATGTTATCCATAATGTTTTTGCTGAGATCTCTTTGTGAATTGTGTGGGTATTATTATTATGATTTGACAGAACCAGATGCTTTATGTTGCTTCTCTCCTTCAGATTTCATTTCAAAAGCCACACCTTATCTCCTTTGCTTCCTTAATCCAACACAAACGCGAAGATCTTTTTCCTTCCCTGGCACTTATCCGTACACAGAGAACAAAAACAGGAGAGAGAAAGAAGAAAATTGAAGAAAGTACTTTCATCCCCGTTATTATCCGATTTCTCTCTCTAAAAACTCATCTGAAGCATAACAAGGGAAGAATCACTCCGAGTTGAAGAGTTGCGTCGTAACGTTTTTGGATTTTGATTCTGAATGAGAGATGAATGGTGGTGTGGAACCGCAAGTGCAAGTAGGAGATTTCTTTGAAGAAGAAGAAGAAACAGTTATGGCGGCGGTTAAAGAGCGAGAGATCTGGCTTCAGAACAATAATGGTGGCCATCAAGGTGATGAGGATGATCTTCTTGCTGGTGTAATGGACGACGCTTCTCTGTTCTATGCAGATGATGACTTCCCTTGTCTTCCAGATTTCTCATGCATGTCGTCTTCTTCGTCTTCATCTTCACCCCCAGCAGTCACAGTCAAAACCGTCACGTGCGCCTCTTCCTCCTCTAATACGTCGTCGTCTAATTTGGCGGCTTCCTGGGCGAATCTCAAGTCAGATGCAGAGCTTCGTCTCCCACCGCCACAGACCCAGCCACCGGCGTTATCCTCCACTGCTTCTATGGAGATCCAGCAGCCGCCGGATCATCAAGGCGGCACTAATGACAGCGGAGATTGTCTGGACATGATGGACACATTTGGAACTATGGAACTCATGGAGGGAAATGAATTCTTCGATCCTTCATCAATCTTTGAAAATGAAGAGAATCTATTGGACGAATTTGTCCAGTGGGACCCGAATCCGCCGGAAGAGGGACATGCAAGTGGTGGAATGATACTGCAGGAGGAACATCAACAGCAGCAGCAGCAACAGCCACCGCCATTGGCGGAGACGGCGACGGATGAAGAGATGAGCTCGGTGTTCTTGGAATGGCTAAAGATAAACAAAGACAGCGTGTCTGCGACTGATTTGAGGAACGTGAGGTTGAAGAAGGCGACAATAGAGTGTGCAGCGAAGCGTCTTGGTGGAGGGAAAGAAGGCATGAAGCAATTGTTGAAGCTAATTCTGGAATGGGTTCAGACGAGCCATCTTCAGAAGAAAAGACGCCTGGAAAATCATGTTAATAACAATAATGAGAATGACAATCTTTTCACCACTCATTTTCTGGATACCACAAACCCTAGCTCTAATCTCAACCACCAACCTTCATTTGGCCTGGAATGGATCTCTCAGCCGCCGTACGGGGTTGATCCAGCGGCTTTACCGGCGGCCCCGCCACCATTTCCGCAACCTCTAGTTGGTTATAGCAATAACCTGGGAGACCCGTTTTCCAACGGAGCTTCAAATGAATTTCATGCGCCGGATTCTTCACATTCATGGCCTCATTCGCAGTTTACTGTTTATACTAACCACCAACCATATGGGAACAATAATCTACACCCGTCGGCGATGGCGGGATTTGGCGGTTATGGGAACAATCAGTACCCGTATCAGTATTTTCATGGCGGCGGCGGCGGCCCAGATAGATTGGGTCCGTTGGCGACAAAAGAAGCGAGGAAGAAGAGAATGGCGAGGCAGAGACGGCATTTATCTCATCACAGGCATCACAATAATGTCCAAGACCATCAACAAAACCAGCAGAGCCCAACCAGTGATTATTACACTACTGCTACAGTTGTACCGCATGCAAATCCACCCAACTGGTTGTATTGGCCGCCGGCGGCGCCGTCTAACGGTGGAGCCGCTTCTGTTGTGCCAACGTCTCAGGCGGAGCCACCACCGCCGGGGAGAAATGTGGGGGATCGGATGGCGGCCATGCAATCCGACCAGAATAATAATCAACAAAACCGGGTCTCATCAGATAAACGACAGGTAGATTATATTCATCTAATAAGTCTGGTATCGTGACCTTTGTAATGTTCTGAAATTGAAACATTGAACTATTTGGGATTATGTTATAGGGATGGAAACCAGAGAAGAACTTGAAGTTCCTTCTGCAGAAAGTGTTAAAGCAAAGCGACGTGGGTAATCTGGGGAGGATAGTGTTGCCAAAGGTGATTCTTGTTTTCTGTGATAAATTTGAATTATTGATGACTGTGTGGTTGTAACGGAAGAATTAATTACTTTGTTTGGATTGCATCATCAGAGAGAAGCAGAAACCCATTTGCCAGAACTGGAGGAAAGAGATGGGATTTCCATAGCAATGGAAGACATTGGAACTTGTCGTGTTTGGAACATGCGCTATAGGTAATTCCGAAATCAATTTCTCTGTTTGGTTGGTGTTTATCTTTCTAATCAAAATTATAGAAACTGAAATGTTGGCGTATCAGATACTGGCCAAACAACAAAAGCAGGATGTATCTGCTTGAGAATACAGGTGGGTTATTCCTAAATCAATTAGCTTCTCATCAAAGTTTTCATTTTTGCTGTTTCTTTTGGGTTTCTCTCTCTCTCTCCATATAGATATATATATATATATCTGATTGATCATAATGATTCTCAGGAGATTTTGTGAGAGCCAATGGACTTCAAGAAGGAGACTTCATAGTGATATATTCAGATGTAAAATGTGGCAAATATGTAAGAGCCGTATATTCTAATAATGACATTCTGTTTAATTCCTTTGCTTTAATCTCTGAAGATTAAGCCCAGTTCATGTTTTTGTTTTGGCAAACAGATGATAAGGGGTGTGAAGGTAAGGCAAGCAGCTGGCACCAAAGTTGAGACGAAGAAAGCAGCCTCAGGAAAATGCCAGAAGGCTAATGGATCTGATACATTTTCACCAAACAAGAATGAGAGAACAAGGCAATAACGTTGGATGAACAAGTCTTGAACATGACATATATATTATTATCTGTCGTTCGAATCTATAGCGAAATGGAAGGTGAAGTTCTGTACAGCGACAAATTGTAATATTGTAATATACATATATATATATATATATATATATGTTCTTAGTTGGGATTAATCGTCAATTATGTATTATTCTAGTCGCTGGCTTATGCACTTTATGATATGCCAACTTGGGAATACGTATAATTATCTGTTTAAACCTTGTATTACTACTATATTTGCTATCATTTTTTAAGTGTTTTTTTTTTGGCCAACCATCATTTTTCAAGTGTTAACTGATATAGACACACATACACACAGCAGTCGCAAAGATATTCAAACATATCAGACTGAACAAAATATTTGTGGAAAAAAGGATCAAATTAGCCAACGAACACAATTAAGTTAAGTGCGAATAAGGGAAGTTTGACTTTGATTTTATTTACATTGGGATAAGAAAAACTTTTCGGACAGAACCAAGAATAGTTTAGCTGGCTAGGACGTTTGTCAGTTTGGTTTAGTTTAGCTCTTTTCCCCATTTATTCAATTTATTTTTGTTGTTTAAAAGTGTAAGATATTTTTAATAATTAATTTACAATGTTGCATCCCTCAATAAGTTCGTTAATTACACATTCTTTTCATAATTACGTTGAGTATCTTAATTAGAAATCCTTGTACCCTCAATCAAGGAATTTTTTTCAAATTTTTTTTTATTAACAACACTTTGGAAGACCAAAATACCTTATATCTTTGAACATGGTACTTCAAAATATGCCTTGTAACTTTGAAATGGAGGGAGTAAAAGTTTCATTTTTTAAAATGTAAAATTTAATTTTATATTTCTACTAAAAAAAATGCCCTCAAGAAACAAGACTAACTAAAAACTACAAAACTTTTCATACCTCGGGAATTGGACTAGGCCGAAACTGAGCTTGGGCCAGCAAACGGACAACCTTTTTTAGGTAATACAAAGAACAAGGACGCCACCTTAAACTTTTTGGCCAGACGAACCCTTCAATGAATTTTACCCAATTATAAAAGGTAAAAAACAGCTTATAACTTTAAAATTTTTTTATCAATACATAATATCAAAGTTTTTTGTTACAAACTTACAATATACTCACATCAATTTTACTTACCTCACGCACATGACACCCTCACATTGTCAACTCTTTGGTTTTCTCTTCTTTTAGCCCAAAAAAAAAACAATTCTAATAAAAAAATTCCAATAAACTTCTATATCATTAAGGCCCTATTTGGCAAGCACCATAAACCATGGTTTGGGGAGCCAAACCATGGTTTGGGGAAAATGCTAGCCAAACAGCCTCTGGAATATTTAAAACCATGGTTTGGGGGAAACCATGGTTTTGAACCCCCAAACCATGGTTTCATTAGAAGCCATTTTCGTCTGCTTCTAGCTCCAATTGTTGAAGGCTGACGGTGGGCCCTCCTCACATGACCGAATAGCCCCAGCTTCAATTATCCTCTGGCTTCAATTATTTCTTCCATTCCAGTCGGTCCAAAATATCTTCAGAGCTCCATTCCAGTTTGGTCGAAACTTCCTCTCGCTTTCTTCCCCACTCGGTCCGCCTGCTTTGGAGATGCTTTGGGTTCCATTCATTCCCTGTGCACGGTCTTCCTTTCCCCCTTCGGTCTTTCCTCCTTGACAGAACGAGTCGCTGCCCGTGAAGAAGTGAATGGTTTGAAGTGCCGGTGAGAGAAATCGCGTCGGTGGAAGAAGATCAGCTATCAGTTCCGACGCTCAGGTTCGCTCTGAAGCATTCGGCGGTGCTCAGTGTTCCCTGGCTCTTTCTTTGGCGCTCAGGTAAGGTGGCTCAGATCCGGCATTTATCCTCTGCTACTCAATCTCTTCTGTTAATTTCAGTGTCAATTTAGCTCAATTTTCGTTTGAGTATTTGTGGATTCTGGATCATATTTGTAATTGCAAATTTACAACTTGCAAGCCAAAACCAGAGCAGCCTCTGTTTCTTCCTCTACCGGTTGCGACGTTGAGTTGTAACCGGGGGGGAACCGTAGCACAATCAAAACTAAAAACCCAAGTACTGTGAATGGGATTTTTGTGAAATCAATTCGGATCAGATAATGAGAGATTCGAAAACAAAAAAAAAACTACTTTTGTGGAACAGATATATTAAAGTTGTATTATGTCCGGTTGGTTTGAGCCTGATATATGGTATCTTCGGTTGGTTGATAATCTGTGAATTTGTTTTTGGTTCTGAGATCTGTTTATCTAGCTCCACATCTCCTTCACCGGACTCTCATACGCACAAATATAGCAAATGGAAATCTGTGTTTAATATTTGTAGTTTGCCACCCTATAATTTTTACGAGCACTCAACGTTGATGATGACCGGGCTGTCTAAAATTTTGTTTTATATACTCTGCATTTTTTAATGTGCATTGAACTTGTCATGGCTTGTCGTCTGACCGGGGTAATTTTTTTTTCCAGTACTGGCTTGGGGTGTTTGGTGGGTGCTGGTTTTGCTTGGTTGATAGTTATTGCTGACGTTCTGCTTCAGTGGTGGGTTGATTTTCATTCAAGAATTCATTTGTGTAGCTTGGTTTATCTGATTTCAGTTAGAGGATTGGTTTTCGGTCTATTCAAGTGACTAGTTTTTCCAGAGACATATATTTGTAATCCTTATATTTTATTTTTCGTAATCCTGTTTTGAATAAAATTATAGGATGTTGTATTTGTGGTAATTAAAATTAATTTATTTAATTTTTTTCTAGTCATGAAAGGAATGGGAACATAATTCCATTTTATGTTGGATTAAAAAAATTAATTACTTGTTATAAATACATAGATTGAATTTCTTTTTGTTTTAAATAATGAAAGAAAGAAAAATGTTAATATGGTATTCATAGTTGATTTGGGTAACAATGACACTTGTTATTTCAATTAATTTTGAGTTGATTAACCTGTGATGACTGAAGAGCTGTAATTGTGATATAACATAATGGGTAAGAATACGGTGAAAGCTTCCTGGGACCTACGAACCACGAAAGTGTTTATTGACTTATGCATTAAACTTGTGCAACAAGGGGAAAGAAAAGGTACTAGCTTAACAAAGAAAGCTTGGGATTCTTGGTGATAAATTTACTGCCAAAACTGGAAGAGTGTATGAAAAAGCTTAATTTAAGAATAAATATGATTCCCTACGAAAGGAGTGGCAGACATGGGATAGGCTGCTTCGTAAGACAGGATTGGGATGGGATACTGAAAGGAATACTGTCAGTACAACTGATGATTGGTGGGAGAGAAAAATAAGGGTAATTATTGAACCTTTTGATCTTACATTTTCTCTACTTGTTAATGTTTTGTGTATATTTACTGTTTTTAAAATATTTTATGATATTATTGGTGTCTAATGTGTAGGAAGTTCCAAACTACGAAAAATTCAGAGAAAGAGGACTTCAATTTAGGGATCAATTAACTCAACTATTTGGGAGTGTAGCTGCAACTGGACCACAAGCATGGGCACCTTCTTCCATGACACTTCCAAGTGAAGGAACACTGAATGAAGATTTGGAAGAAGGGTCCGGAGATAGTGATGAAATTTTAGGTGCACCAACTGGTATAAGTGAGGAATTTAACTCAGTGAACTTCAATGACAATAGTGGAGGTAGTGGGGGCAACACTGAATTGAGGTAGGATAATAGTGGTGGGGGTACGAGCAGAGGTGGGAGTCGACCTAGTAGTTCACTGGGGGTCAGAAGGAAGAGTGAAGTCATGAAGAAACACACATCTCCCTCTATGAAAATAGCGGATGCACTTAGCAAGATTGCTGAAAAAAATATTTCTGAGGCTGAGCGTGGCAATGAGGTCATTTCACGAGTAGAAGCTAGAAGGTTGGAAGAAGAAGCGCGTGCTCATGAGATTTCAATTAGGGGAGTCCTGTCTCACCTCAAAACAATTCCTGAAGTTGTCAGTGATCCTGATTTATTTAGACGGTGCACACAACTCCTTATGGAACGGCCGGAGGCACGGGAAATGTATGCAGCTCTGAAGGATCAGAAGGAACAACTTCTACCTATTTTGGAGTTTTACACTAGGGATTTATGACTTATTTATTATATTAGACAGTTCCATATGTGTATGTTTTATGTGATGAGTGGATTGTTATATGAATCAGACAACTCTGTAACTTTTATAAATGTTTCGTAATTTCTACGTAGGAATTCTAAACTTTATGTGTATGTGCACAGGATAAAACGAATATGGATGATGAAATTAAACATGTGGAAGAGCATGCTAAGGGACGAAAAAAAAGGGTTAACAAAGTTGCAGCATTGGTCGGTGCATATGCTACTTTGAACTTGTGTAAGGGGCCTCGGCATACAAGTGCTTATACAAGTAGCTTATGGGTAAGGGATGTTTTACATGGCAACCCCAGTCGTTGCTATAACATGTTTAGGATGGAACGAGATGTGTTCTTAAGTCTGGTGGAACAATTGCAACAACATGGTCTAAAAGAAACTAAAAATATAGGGTTACATGAATCAGTTGCAATGTTTTTACATACCGTTGGCCATGCACTTAGTAGTAGAATGCAACAAGAAAGATTTCAACATTCAGGGGAGATAATTAGCAGACATTTTCATAATGTTCTAATGGCATGTTGTAGACTTGCCATGTCTAATATCAAACCAAAAGATCCAACATTCTGGCATGTTCATACAAAAATTCGGTTTGGTAAATATTGGCCTTTTTTTAAACATGCTATTGGAGCAATTGATGGCACACATGTTTTCTGCGTTGTCAGTGCAACAGATCAAACTAAATTTATCTCTAGGAAAGGAACAGTGTCACAAAATGTCATGGCGGTTTGTGATTGGGACATGTGTTTTACTTTTGTCTTGGCCGGATGGGAAGGTAGCGCACATGATGCTCGGATATTTGATCATGACCTCACAACTCCTTCAATGAACTTTCCCCATCCACCTGAAGGTATTTTTTATTTCCTGCATTTTTTTATATTTAGCTTAACAATAGAAACATAATTTACAATAATTTCATTTTTTATATAGGAAAATATTATTTGATGGATGCTGGATACCCAACACCGAATGGATATCTCGGCCCATACAGACGGGAGCGTTACCATCTGCCTGATTTTCGAAGGACATCTGGGTTTGAAAATGACAATGAGATCTTTAATTATTTCCATTCAAGTTTAAGGAGTACAATTGAAAGAACTTTCGGAGTTTGGAAAAAAAAAGTTCGCAATCTTACAAAACATGCCATCCTATGATTATGAAACACAAGTTAAAATTGTTTGTGCAACGATGGCTATACATAATTTTATTAGAACGACATCTATTACTGATCCTGGATTCGTTCAGTTGGAAGAAGAAGGTACTTATGCAGAAGATGATGATGATGGGGTTGGATTTTCGCGTATACATTCATCAATTCAATCTTCATCTTACATGGCTCAGGTTCGTGACAGCATAAGAGACGAACTTGTTAATTTAATACGAGGATAGTAGTCATGTCTTATTTATTTCCTTTTATCATAGATTGTAATATGTAGTTAAAAACAAAACCTATTACAAATGCTTTGTATCGATGCATCATCTTAACGATTATGACACTTCTTTATTTATATTTCTCTTATTAATATTATACCTTATATTCTCAAGCTAATTATTACTTACTTGAATAATTAATAAATTATTTTAAGACGTGTTTATTCTATTTTATCAAACAATATCATCCCATTTTATGTTTATAATCTTCATGAAAAATACATGACTTTTTGTTTGCAACAAAATAATTCATCTTCTCTAAAAATATTTTCACTCTTATATTTTATGAATATATATGTGTGGTGACAATTAATTAATTAATTGTATTAAACATAAGAGGTTATTATACATGTAGTATGTTATTACAAAAAGTAGTTGTGAAAAAATGTTATGGGATTTCACGTTTACAATCTTTAAAGAAAATTAATATTTTTCTATTATAAAAAAATCATTTTTCTATAAACATATTTAATATTATGTTTTATAAATATATGTACACATATTAATTATGTATTAATTATATTATCTTATATATTATTAATTATGTTAGTAAAAATTTTTTCATTAACAATTTTATTTCTTCAAATCAAAATAAATCATAAAATCTATCCCTTATATAATTACTCCTCCGGTCCTAATTATAAGACCCAATTGACTTATTTGAGGAGATTAAGGAAGTAAGTTAAGTTGGTTATTTATAATAAATAAGTGTTGTTATTCCTAAAATATCTTTGCTAATTAAGTATATTGGCTAAAACTATCATTATTAGAAGGATTATTTTGAAAAAAATGCATAAATATAAAAGAAAAAATGGATTGGGTCTTATAATTAGGACCAAATAAAAAGTCAAATTGGGTCTTATAATAAGGACCGGAGGAGTATCATATTAACTTATACCCTTTTTGGTAATTTTCGCATGTAAAAAGTGTTTCTGGTAATAACTATCTAAACACTCTTACTTCTTAGAATCACTTTTTTTCAAAATCTATTCTCCACAAAATTTATTTTCCAGAATCATTTTTTCAAACCACGGTTTGGTTTCATCCAAACACACCCTTTTAAGTACTGGAAAAATGGTTTATTTGTGAGGCTGAGAGAAGCGGCGGCATTCTGGTCACACTTTCTTCCCGCTTTCTTTCTGGCTGCGGCAAAAGCTTTCGCCTTCTTTGATAGCAACAAAAGGCAGAAACTTTATGCTCAGAGGGGAGAATGTGTTCTTCAGTTCTTAATATTCATAGTTCATGTCCCATTTCGTCCTACTCCCCAACTTGCTTTCATGGTCGACCCTGTGCTCTAACCCCTCTTCGATTTCTTTCGTCCAATTCCTCTTTGAAGTTCAAAAATCAGCCTTTGAGATTCTCTCGCCCCAAGAGATCCAGAACCCACAAGCGTCGCTCTTCCTTTGTAGTTCTCGCAGTACAATCGAATATCTTTCAAGGTTAGATTTTTCTTCATTCGGGCAGTCTTGTTCATTCAGGGTATGTTCGGATTGGACATGTTATTTGCTCACGGTTCCAAGCTAACAAAAGTTTGAATCATTTAAAAAGAAGGAAAACATATTTGTTTATATCCAAACGAATGAAATTGTCAAACTTATGAATACTTCTGATATTTGGGACGATGAGATTTCAGTTCACTGACGAAACGATAGTGGAGATAAGCCGATTTCAGAATTATTTCCGGGTTATTAGATTATATTTGTTTGCAAGTTCTAGGTTTACTGGCACAGGAGACTTGGTATAAATAAAGAGAATCGGATTTTGAATGACCATTGGTGAAATGATTTGTTATATTTTAATTGTGTAGCTGAATTTGAACTTGCTTGATCTTCTTTTGTAATCTGTGAATTGGATTATAGTAATTGACATCAATTTGAATTTTCTCAATCCTAAGCACTATCTGGCTGCAGTTATCGCCCTTGTGACTGATTTTTGTTGAGTAAACTTAGGGTAATGGATCATCCTTGATGTCCTAGCGGCTTCGTTTCAGTTTTTATATATATATATATATATATATATATATATATATATATATAGGATTTAGGAAGTTATGCATAATAATAAGAGTATGATGAAGAGCACTACGTTTAGGTAATATGAACTGTCTAATCTCAAACAGAACTTGATCTTGGGTCACAATCTGCAATTTGCATTTTGTAAAGCAAGTCAGTTAGTTTTTATGCAAAATTTTCAGTGGAATTTCCTGACATCTTTGAAGGGTTTCCTATGATGTGATGACTACCTAGACAATGAATTTTATCCTTGCTGAGGAGTGAACATATAAACCCAAGAAAATTCCCACCCCCAGTACTCGCCTCCCCATCCATAATGAATGTAGTTGATTAGCGTGTCTGGTTGTTGCTTCTTGACAATATCATATGATTTGTTTAAAATTTGATTCATGGTATAGTTTTGTGTTATAAATTTTGAACTTTTACTCTGAATGCTGCATATTGCCTTAACTTTCATGCTTCTTCAGGAAAACCTAACCTTTCATTTTGATTCCCACTGCCGTCATGATTATGTTTAATAGCTCTCCAGACAGCATGGAAAGTTGGTAGGGATGGAATTGAGGCGGGTACTAATCTGGTTCCTGTAAGTTTGAATAGCCCTTTCAACATGGCAATCCTTGGATCAAGTCTACTTATTGAATACTTTGTTCTGCTTTATTATTCATTTTATATTTCTTTTCTTCTCCTTTCTGGCACTAGGATTCTATACCAAGACCGGTAGCGAGGATTTCTGTAACTTTTGTAGCATTGAGCGTTGGACTTTTTGTTCTGAAGTCTTTCCTCTCTACAGCATTCTTTATACTGGTGAGTCAACAACTTTCTTTGTGCAAAGAAATTTAAGTCTGGACGTTCTTTATACTGGTAAGTTCTTAAGGCAGGATAAGAATGCCAGGAATATCAAATGAATATATTTTTTCGATGCACTTCTTTGTATCAATATTTCTTGTCTTGCCTGCTATTCTAAAAATGGGATCAATTATTGCAACCTGATTCAATATTCTGAAGTTAATAAATCGTCTTCAATATTATTTTGGCGTTCATTTGATAGGCAATATTGAGTTCATAGAAACAAATGATTTGCATGATGTCAGGCCACTATGGGACTTGCATATTTCGCATTCCTAGCTTTTAATAAAGATCAAGGACGAACAGGAGGCAGCGACACCACCTCCACTTCCACCTCCACCCCTATGGAGGATCCAGTAGAAGAAGCCAGAAAAATAATGGACAAGTACAAGTAGCGTCACCAGAGTAAGTCATTCCGAGCCATTTTTCTGCATTCTATAATTGTCCATTGCAATGTTGGATGTGATGCCTTGCTCATTATGGAAATCTAGATCTTACATATATTGTGCTCCTTTTCTTTTCTTCCTTGCCCCATGAAATGAACGCTATCAGTTTGTTAAAAAGTTGAGACTTTGACAGATCTAAATCCATGATGATTGAGATGGAAGAGATCGAGGCTTACTTAGAGCACAGTCATCTTCAGTCATGCAAATCATGACATTTTGAGTTGTTTACATCATTTCATAATGTAACAATTTTGAGGCTTGTTGTTTAGGGAAAAAATGACCCTAGGTTAGAAAAACTGTTGTAACGTTCCACTTGAACCTGTTTCTTCTGGTGATATCACTCAACTGCAAATTAGTTGTAGATAAACCTGAAGTTAAAATAATCATATGCCCAGAGAGCATGAGAATACTGTGATTTTTCCATTGGTGATGGCTGTCAAAGGGATACTGAAATCAAATGAGAGTCCAAAGTTTATGCTCTCTCTCTCTCTCTCTGTGTCTATTTAATTAATGAGAGGGCTGAGTTGGGAGGTTTTACAGGTTTGTGCATTTGCTTATCCTGCAGGTCTTCTCACTCAGAGAATTGTAGCTGCACAACTTCATTATGTAATATATGCTAACGCTAAATAGTGGAAGTTCATGCAAACTTTACTAGGACCCTGTATAAAAGAATTTCTTAGTCATTTTTCTTATCAAACTTTGCATGATAGAATTTTCAGTTCCTTTGGGAACTTTTCTTGTGGTTTTATTATCCTTTTGCACGTGTTGTTATGCCAAGATATATTTATAAATAAGCACTAAACACTATTTAATTAGGTTATGCAATTTTAAATGGTTTACAATGACTTTTACGCATTATATGTTACAATCGTGAGTTGTTCTATTTGGCTTAATCTTATTTAATATCATCTGACCTTATGTGTTATAATATTAATATCCTAATGAGAAACTTACACATAATTCTGGAACATTATATTAAAAACATTATCTCGCCACACCTTTTTATTTAGTTTTCTACGCTATCAATAAAAATATAACAGCCTAAATAATTTAAAATGCAAATTGTGAGGAGCCTCTGAGGGAAGAGTAATATAAGAAAATATTGTATATCATTTATGTCCTCTGTTCTTACTCGGTTCTCTCTCTGCCCCTCGCAAAAATATTTTACTAACGACACGTTCGAGATAGTTCAATCGTTAGGGGTATAGATGAGAATTACATAAAGGCAGCTATGGATCAAACGATATTATGCATTCCAAAATTCTATTCGTCGATGTCAATGATACAGCGTAGCCCCTCTCCCCTTATCATCAACTCGAACGCCTTGTTAATCTCAGAGAATGGAACTCTGTGTGTTATAAACTTTTCCAATTCCAACTTCTGCAACCAAACAAAACACGCAAAAAAGAAAATGCGAAGTATATCAGTTTGCATAAATTTCACTCATTTTATCAGAGACCTAGTGACTGTAACAGAATGAAAAACCATAGTCACCTTGCTCATGTACATGTCAACAATAGACGGAAGATCTGTCCTGGGCTTGTAGTTCCCAAAGAAAGTCCCTTTTAGTGTTCTTTCGTTCAGCACATTGATTGGCTTGGTCATGAACACTGCATCCTTGGTGGGTACTCCTACAAGAACTGCAACTCCCCAACCCTAAAATGTTTTGCACAAAATTATTAGCCATATAGCCGAATTCCTATCCTCAACGTAGACTTATTCTCCAAACTTTTGAGGGAAGAAGCTTTGAAGCTCTCTAGCTATCATTAATATAAGTTATTGGTCCTTAACCATCATTTTTCCAGATTTTCTGCTATCATATGATATGGCTATCTGATAAAAAGGTGGCTTACATCATGAACACATTCAAAAGCAGAAATCATGGCGTTGATGTTTCCAGTGCACTCCACACTGCGGTCCACTCCACCGTTTGTCATCTCTGCAATAACCTGTGATTTATAACCATAGCTTCATGAAGCCATAAAAGACCAGGTGAAGTGAACAGTGAGTACATAGCTGATGGAAAGTTGATGTACCTCTTGAACTGGTTTATCATAATCCTTTGGATTTATAAACTCAGTCACCCCAAATTTCTTGGCTACAACATCAAAGAAAAAGAAAACAAACAGTCAGATTCTTAAGTTCTCAGTTTATTAAAAGGGGGCGATTTCTGAAACTATCAGATTATTAGTAAGGGGAGATTACTGTAGGTCTGAGAACAAAATCTACCTGCTTCAAATCTGCTAGGGTTCAAGTCAATCCCAATGATCCTAGATGCCCCAGCAATTCTTGCCCCCTCTGCAGCCTGATATTTTAGAATCTAGTTATAATATTATGATTGAAGAATTTGGTAGGGCATTGAAAATCTGTATCCATGTTATGTTTAGAGAAACATTAGATGTTAACTTACAGCAAGGCCGACAGTTCCAAGGCCAAAGACTGCAACAGAGGAACCTTTCTTTGGCTTTGCCACATTCAGAGTTGCTCCCAATCCTGAAATCTCAATGAGTATTGTTCCACACAAATCAGTCAGCAAGAAATTGAATCTAAAGCTGAAATCTATTCATCTATGCATAACCTAAGAGTAAAGCAACAACTCAATTTGTGAATTATCAGATTGTTTTAGCTGCATGTTAGTTTTCTGTCAAACGATCTGGAGATGAGCTAAAAACTTAAAGTAGAGTGGGACTTGACCAGTCGAAATGCCGCAGCTGAGAACACAGACTTTATCCATAGGTGCCAGAGGGTTGATCTTTGCAAGGCAGCCAGAGTGAACCACAGTGTATTCACTGAAAGTGGAAGTGCCAAGAAAGTGGTTGACAGGGTCGCCATTAATGGAGAACCTGCTTTTTTCATCACTGAGCATCACACCTCTGTTTGTATCTATTCTCAGAAGGTCACACATGTTGCTCTCCTCAGACTTGCAATGTGCACATTCTCCACATTCCCCTGTGAATACCGGAAGCACATGATCCCCAGCTCGCAAGTCTGTCACTCCTTCTCCAACACTCTCCACAATTCTGTTCATTATTCAAATTAAGTAAACTAACACAATTCATTGCATGATGTACAAATAATTCTTTGATTTTTAAAATTTGAGAAGGAATCTTAATAATCTGTGTCATAATTAGTTTACTAGTAGAAGGATGACAAAGTTAGGGTACCGGTGTTAACTATAGATGATTTAAAGAAGCTATATGCATATAACACAGTACGAGGGAGTCACGTCCAATTAAACTTTCTTTGTTGAAAACAACTTGCTTTAATGAAATAGAACACGTCTTACCCAGATGCCTCGTGCCCAAAAATTCTGGGGAAAAGAGGAGTTTGCCCCTGAAACACAAATAAATGAAAGATCAAGCTTTGTGAGTTGGAGAACAAACATAGTAATATTCTGCATGTGGCTTGGATTTTAAAAAATGAAAGAGAATTGAGTTAGAAAGACCTTGGCCTCCCAGAAGTAGAGATCAGTGTGGCAGAGAGACGTGTATTTGACCTTGATCCTCACTTCCATCGCCTGTGGTGGAGCTACTTCCACTCGTTCCATCACCAATGGTTTCCCTGCTTCCCATGCTACTGCAGCTGCTTTTCCATATATTTCATTCCATAAATTTTGTATTCATTCCTGTATTTCTCGTACTAAAAACTACATGTATTGAAGCATTTCAAGCCTAATGAAGAGGGGGAAAATAAAAGAAGAAATATAATTTATTTATTTTTTTGGCTGGATTTCACACGAATGAATCTCATTTTTCTTCTACTTTGTTTAAAATTAAAATAAAAATGTATTTCAAACCATTTATTTAATTAGCTATGTATTGGAAAGATTAAAAAAATAATTATTCATTCTTTTAAAAAATTATATCAGGAAAATTAGAATCCTCAAACATTATAGATATCTTTACCTGCATTACCACTTATGGCTAAAATACATGTAACATTCTCAAAAAAAATCTAATAACTTCTTTCGGAAAATCATGTGGAGTTGAAAGTACTAAAAAAGAAAGGGGAAAAAAAGACAAATCCATAGAAAGATAACATAAGCTATTGTTGTTTTGTAGTGCCAAGGATAGTGACCGCATAACATCACAAAGAAATGATCTCGACCCTTAATTGACTATCTTCATCAATGGTTTTGAAACATTCGCCTTATTTCATTGATCCAACCGTCTACATTCGGATATAGATCTCAGAAGGCTTGAGAACATGAAATCCAAATTCTAGTTGTGTGATTCTCTTATAGAGACTTGTATAGAGTTGATTTCGCTATGGAAAAGGATTCAGAGGAGGATTCAGCAGCATTTCAGTCTAAATACCTCTTTCGTCCTATCTGTGGCTCCGTGGATAAAACTGAAAATACAGAATCGAACGAAACGGAACGGAACCGAAGAATCAAACCTGATTTTGCTATGGAACTCAACCTTCTGCTCCGATTAGAATTCTAATTTCCCAATTTACAGTATGAAACTAGACGAAGACTGAATAGAAGAATTCGTTACAGTGTCCAGCACCATCTGGTTGCGTGATTTTGCCACGAAAGATTCTTAAAAATAAGGATAAACAAAATGGATTCATACCTTTGCATGGAATCGTCAGACCAGCAGTGGTGGACATCGTGGTGAAATCTGCAGATGAGGAATGCGGGTACGAATTAGTAGAAAATCTCCTCGAAATACTGCTCCTTAGCGTCCGGACACAACTTATTAGCCTCTGGGCATGACACATCTGTCTAATATGCATATGCCAAGGGCCAACTGTGTAATTTTCGTTTTCACTATCTGTCACCTTTCAATCATTATCTTTATACGTAACACAATAGAAACAACGGCTTATAATTTTCTAAGGAAACGGGATTTTGGACCCCATGAACAGTGAATAATGCTGGCTAGTTCTATGGATGCAGCCAAATGAGAGTTTCAATATCAAGAGGAAGTTGCAGAGATTCAGTGTCTGGTTTTTTGAGTCAAAGTATTAAATGAACGAACCGCCCATAGATGGATGACACCGGGTTCTGGGGATGGAATCATGCCAAGAATAATAGAATTGGTAGTAAAATGCCAATCATCAACTTGGTTTGAAAGCAACGAATCAATGCTATGAATTTGCTTGTTTCATTAAACTGTGGTCTCTCTCTTACCCAAAAAAAAAAAAATCTATAGTTCATCCTTTGATGATATGCTTTTTTTTTTTCCCTTGATACTAATACCAACATTCAATCCTAATTATAAAAGCCAGTTGACTAATTTGAGGAGATTAAAAAAATAAGTTGAGTTAGTTATTTGTTCTAAATAGGTGTTGTCTTTCCTAAAATATCCTTGCTAATCAAGTGTATTGACTAGAACTATCATTGTTAAAAGGACTACTTTGAAAAAAAAGTATAAATATGATAGATAAAGTGGATTGGAATCTTATATTTAGGAGCAAAATAAAAATCAAACAGAATTTTACATTAATGACCAAAAGTAATATTTTCATCGGGTATATTAAGATTGGCCAATGTAAATCAATTGGGTTTTTGGACCTTGGTAAACCAATTGGGTTGGCCTCTTGCATATACTACCTCCATTTTTTAATATAAAAATTAGTTTGATATTTAATTTAATTTTAAATATAAAATTTTAATCCATTTTATTTTTTATATTTATTTATTTCTTTTTAAGATAGTTTTTGCAATAAGTTGCACGTTTTAAAGATTTCATCAAATAGTAATTCTAATTAACATACATAATTGGTAAGGATATTTCAAAAAAGATAATATTTATTTATTATAAATAACTAACTTAATTAGTTTTTTTAATCTGCTCAAATTAGTCAACAAACTCTTATATTAAAGACCGAAAATA